TTTTTTTTTATAAAAAAAAAAAAAACTTTTTTTGAAGATGGGAAGAGGAAAAGTTGAATTAAGAAAAATAGAGAATAAAATAAATAGACAAGTAACATTTTCAAAGAGAAGAGGTGGATTAGTGAAAAAAGCTCATGAAATTTCAGTTTTATGTGATGCTGAAGTTGCTTTAATTGTTTTCTCTCAAAAGGGAAAAATCTTTGAGTATTCTTCTGATTCATGGTAAGTTTTTTTTTTAATTATGTAAATTTATTTATTTTGAATTTATCTTTTAATTGTTCTTATGTTATATATAATAGAAAAAAAAAGAATTCCTTTTGTATGAACAAGATAATGTTTGTAATATATAGTTAATTGTGGAAGAAAATTTTGATCTACTTTTCTTAGAAAGAGGTCTTGTTTTTTTTTAAAAAAAAAAAATAATTAATTTCCTTGATATTTTTATGTAATTTAGTAGGAATAATGAAAGAAAATGCCATCTTTAATTTATTAAAAAGAGTTTCTACTATGAAGAAAATAATCCTGCAAAATAAGTGTGTGTCTCTTTAATTATATGAAAAAGGATGATATAATTGAAATAATATTTGTAATAGTTAATTATGGTAGAAAAATGATTTTCTTTTCTTAGTAAGTTTTTTTTTTATTTTTTTATAGTAAGTTTTCTTGACTTTCTTGTTTCATTTTTAAAAAAAATTTAAAATTACCTTAAATTTGATTTCAAGAATCCATCTTCATTTTTTTAAAAATTGTTTTCCTACTATGGAAAAAATAATTCTTTAAATATATTTGTGTGTCTCTATATATATGAAAAGAATGATCTAATTAAGTCAATATTTTGTACTAGTTAAAAAAACTAATTATTGAAGAATTATCTTGAGTTTCTTTGTTTCTTGACTTTTTTTTAAAAAAAAATTATTTGATATTTTTGTTTAACTATGATTGCTTGACTTAGACTTTCAAGATCACTTCTTCATTTTGTTGTACTAATTTATTTCTTTTAGTAGGAACAATATATTATTTATTACTCTTTTTTTTTTGTGAAATGAAGAAAATAATCCTACAAATATCTTGTGTTTCCTTTTGTAAAATACTTGATATAACTAAAATAACATTTGTAATAACCTCTAAACTAATTATATATGAAATATATTTGATATTTATTTTTTGAAGAATTTCTTGAGTTTCTTCTTGCTTTATTATTGTTTATTAATTTCTTATCTTTAACATAGTTCTTTAATTTTAAGGAGTTCTTTTTCCTCTTCAATTTTTTAAGAATTAATGATTCATAAAGAACTCAATTAAATATTACTGTAAGAATATTTTAAGGTTCAGTAATCATTTATTTCTGAATTAATTAGTTCATTTTTTTGTTTTAATTATTTTTTTTCTTTGTTTATACATAGGAAATGACAAACTGGAAATTCTGCACCTAGGACTTCTTCTCTAGCAGCCTTAAATATTTCAACTTCCAACAAAATCATAACACCAAAATAATTTAATTAAAATATTATTCACTTCTCTTAAAAGTAAATTTTTTCACTTTATTTGAAAATTTAGTAAATTAGTGTTCTGTCACAAGAAAATTTAAATCTTAACTTGAAACTGTGTAGAATTTATTTTCAACACAATTTCAATTTCTATATATCATTTTTCAAACTTCAAAATACCACTTTTATGGGGGGAAAAATCACATAAATCATATCCATACACCAATTACATGACATATTTAAAAATGTTATTATTATTATATAACTATTATTATTATTATAATAATAATAAATTATACATTTCAAGAATCTTCATATATTTTTCTTCTAATTTTGTACAGCTATTAACTTATGCCACGTAAATCTAAACTAGATGAACATATACCCTAGATTCTTATAAAATAAAAAAATTAATAAAAATAGAAGAAAAAGTACACTCAAAGATTATTTGTTTGTTGTACTCTAAAAATACATTTTCCAAGAAGCATCTACTGATTTCATAATCCTCATTGACTTTTGTAGATTCACTAACCGGCAATGTACATATATTATTTGTTGCGTGAGATAACGAATAATAATTTAAAACGCTTTTTTTGAATATATAAAAATGATACTTAGTAGGATAATGAATCAGTATCGCTTAGTTTGTTGTATTTAATAGAAAATGGTACTCATATTGTTAATGTTATGATTTACTATATGTTGAATACATTATCGATTAAAGATTAAGGGTATTTTATTTAACGTTTGATTGATCGGATAAGAAGTAAATTTATTATATGTGAACTTTCATAATATGTTATGAGTTATTTTTTATTTTAGTTGAAACTTTTAAATAGGAAAAAAGAATATTATTGATGATTTTTTTTTTGAAACAGTATGGAACAAATTCTTGAACGATATGAAAGATACTCATATGCAGAGAGACGTTTGCTTGCAAATAATTCTGAATCACCGGTATGTATCTAATTATAAAAGTTTTTTTAATAAATATTTTTTGAGTTTAAGTTATATACGTATGGTTAGTGTTGTTCGAATGATATTTTACGGTAAGCTTTGAAAATAGGGGTTTGATTAATTTTGAAAAGAAGATATGTTATCTGATACGATATGTAAAATGATGTGATGTTTCATATTGTATTTATGGTATTATTTTATTTGCTTCGGCTATTATATTATTTTATGTTGCTTCTTATCCTTTCTTTTTTTTACTTTTTGATATTTGTATTTTCTTTTCAAGCGTAACTTGGTTTTGAAATGTTTTACTTATCGATATGAGTTGTGATGCAATCGTGAAACTGTTTCACCTTAATCAAAAGTCTCAGGTTGGAGCTCTGGTATGGGAAAAAACCTATTGGGAGCATCACTCCCAAAATAGGCATGCATAACGCAATCGAAATTTAATCGGAGCTCTAATATAGGCTCCGAACACCAAATGAAAAACTACCACAAAAAAAAATGCTTCTTAAACTGAGTTCTATCGTTTACCGATAACAGTCTCTATTTATATACCTTCACAAAATTTGAATAAGATTTATATCTCCGTCGAACTTATTTATATAATTATATTGAATATGTTATATTGGTTTTTTTAGGATTAATGCCTTTCTTTTAATCTTATAGATGATTTATTGGTATTTGTATAATTTAATTAATAGGTGCAGGAAAACTGGAGCTTGGAATATACTAAACTCAAGGCTAGGATTGATCTCCTTCAAAGGAACCACAAGTAAAATATATTATTTCTTAATTTCATCCAATAATATGCTTTGTTGATTTAGGGTATGTTTGTTATAGAGGAATTTATTTTTCTTGAAAAGTTATTTTAGTTTTTTTCCATACGTTTGGTCGGTGGATTCAGAATTTAAAGTCTATAGGTTTAAATTTTGATTACTCATTTTTCAAGAAAATGTTATTCTTTATACCAAACACACCCTTAAATAGATTATTTTTTAAAATTATTTTTTTAGGCATTATATGGGAGAAGATCTTGATTCAATGAGCTTGAAGGACTTGCAAAACTTGGAACAACAGCTTGATTCTGCTCTTAAGCTAATTCGATCGAGAAAGGTAATTTGTTTGACACTGAAGCGTAGTTATTATTATGTTTTTATGCTATCAGAAGCATCTAAGGGTCTTTGATTAATAGTATGGACATTATATGTGTCATGCTTAAAACTTACAAAATTGATAAATTTGTTGGCTACTTTGTGACTAGATCATAGCAATGTATTAGCTTGGATTCTTTAAAAATATCGGTGGGTGCATACTGAATCCTTTAAAAATAATATACTTTTTAAAATTTGATATGAATGTGATAACATTTTTGAATAATTTGAACAATGTCGTTAGCTTGATAGACCATAACTTTTTTGAGTGGATTACCATTTGCTTTCTTTCTTGCAATTTTTTGAATTTTATGTTACATATAAAATGTTTGTGTTGCAGAACCAACTCATGCATGAATCAATCTCTGAACTGCAGAAAAAGGTATTATTTTATATGTTTTATATTATTTTTTTTAGTTTGATCTAATGAAAATGGTCTTTTATCTTAGAAGGTATTGATGAGATTTACGTATATAGTTTATATCCTCACGAAATATTACGTTTTTTAGTTTGTTCAAGTAAAAGGTCAAGACTTCTTGATCAGAAACAATTTAAATTTAAACTTCTTGTTTCATCTTTGACGAAATGATTTATAAAATAGAGATCGATGTTTTTGTCTTGTTTTAGACCATTTAAAAAATCTTTCTTTATTTCTTAAATTTCTTATTCGTTCAAACACTGTTACATAAATCGAAAGCTTTGGTTGATTCCTTTTGAGTGCAATGTTTTCACAGGAAAGAGCTATCCTAGAGGAGAATAACATGCTAACCAAGAAGGTGAGTTTTTTCTCATGTTATTTTATTCTACATGCATTACATAAATACGTCATTTAATTTGGTTTTAGCTGGTATATGTGATGAATACCAACTTTAGGTCATGTGAATAAGTAGACACTTAAAATGTAGAAAAAATTGAACAAGTAGATTACTCATATATTCTATATGATATAATACACGTAAAATATTACATATGACGCAAATTCCGTTATTCTTATTTAAAATAGAATTTAATGAATCATATTAACTAGTTATTATATGTTTAATTTGTTCTAAACAGATTAAGGAGAAGGATAAGATAGTAGAACAGCAAGGTGAATGGCACCAGCAAACTAATCAAGTTTCTACTTCAACATCTTTCCTCTTACAACCACATCAATGCCTAAATATGGGGTAATTTTCTTCCTCTATAACTAAATAAACAAACTCAGTCCAGAATTTTTATTTAGCGTATTCAATATTATAACTATATATACATATATAAAAAAAAATATCAGCCTTGTACATGTAGCGTATAATTTTTCCAAGGAAGGGAGTTCATTATTTGTCTTATTCTTGAAAGTTATATATATTTACTTCCATGTGATTATAAAGCAATCTTTTTGATAACCGAGAAACTAAGTATGTATTTAACCATATTTCATTGTGAAAATAGAAAAAAAATAATTTTTAAAGTGAAAAATATAATTTTTAGAATTTATGACCAAATATTTTTTAGAAGGTGAAAAATTTTCATGATCAAACGTCACTAAGTCTCAAAGGGATAGGTGACTCATGGTTTTTAGTTTGTTAAGCATTAATTACTTGTTTGATTGTTTAATTAATTTCTAATTAATTGATTTTGATTTAGAGGTAATTACCAAGATGAAGTAGCAGAAGCAAGGAGGAATAATGAGCTTGACCTAAATCTTGATTCATTATATCCACTTTACAACATGAATAAACATCTATGAATAATTTCACTCTTTGCTAATCGCTTGAAACGTTGAAAGGAGCTCACTATCAGGACAGACAAATGAGTATAAGCGATTAGCGATAAAAACTCTATGCGAGAGGAAATTATATATGATGTTAATTAATCTATGCTTGAGAAATTCTTAATTATATATATTGAGTGTCTTTATATTGATATGCATGTATAGAACCTTATTATTATGAATTTCTATGTATTAATGTTTTAAGTATGTTAAAACTTAATTGTAAATGGAATCAAGTCCATTCTCTTTGTATTAGAATTGTTGTTGACGTGTCGTCAATACAATTATGGTTTACTATTAGTAATTTTGTGGTCTCATTTAAAATGGCTTTTTCAGTACTTCATATAATTTGTTTTTTTTTTTGACAATTTGATATTATATGAATAATTATCAGGGTAATATTTTTTTTGTATTATTCTTTGAGTTTATAGTTGTAGAATGAGCTTCACATGTCTTTGTTAATACAATAGGGACCTTTTATCAGTTTACCAACATGGGTTTCATGTTGTTCTGCGCGGATGAAATTGTTCACCCTCAATAAAAGGTTTCGAATTCGAAATCTAAATATAATGAAAATCTTGTTGGGAGCGTTATCCCAAAATGGAACCTATTATTCTAATGTGGACTCCGAACGCCATGTAGGAAACCAAAAAAGGGGATCTGTTTAAAAGACTAGTAGCTTTAGAGGAATGATTTCTCATGATCATTCAACTAATAGTGTTATTATCTCGAAAAAACACGAACGCAAACAAGATAGCAATAAACTTTAGCTTTATGCCATTAATCTTCAAGTTGTAAAGGCCACAGTGCAAAAAAGACAGCATATACTGATAACTTGAATAATCTAAATTTCAGCTTTATCTGATCAAGGGTAGAGACACAAGAGTTTGGGACTATCCAGGTGGTGAAGAACCGCGGACATGCCTGCAATGAGCAGAGATCTCACTCACGGGCCTAAACCTCATGAACAAACGGGGTGGACTCTTCTCCCGTTTAGTACAACTGCACAAGTAGTTGGTGGTCTCACGAGTTTTCAATAAAACACCCACAAAGTAGCCCATGGCAGCAAAAGTTAAGTATCGAAAAGAAAAGAGTTCAACGAGAACCAAAAATTCTCTAGACTGTATATCATGTTACTCATCGATCCATCCTTTGTAGATGTCAGGGTACCAAAGTGTGGTAAAAAATTATGTACACCTTACTAAGAGTATGCAGGAAATCTTCACATCTACATCTGTTTTTCATTTCATCTAAGCTCCTTCTCTTCAACTCTGACCATCAATTTGTCTCCTCGAATTCCATCAACTGCGAGAGGAAATCAAAGTGTTAAAAATGAAGCTAAAAATACTTCACTGGACAGCATTCTACAATAGAAAACACAAAAATACATCAAGTCTAAGCATTAATTGCCATCTTGGCACATTTCTTTCCCGAGGATAATTCTGGCAATCATATAATGGAAGTCGTCAATGTGTAGTTAAGGTAAAACTTTTTGATATAGGAAATGTGTCTACTTCGAGTCTTCTTTTATGTGCCCCTGAACTCTAATTCTATCGAAGTGTCTCACAAAATTGTTGTGAGGAATCAAGACGTGCAGAGTAGAGATATCGGATTGCAGTCTGCAGATATAAGCTTATACGTATCACCAATGTAAGATCCACTTTAACACGTACATTATCCGGCTCAAATACAACTCAGACGTCTGAATGAGCAAGTGTTCATTGACTTACCTACACTGCTGTGACTTTCAGATAACAAAGACTTTATCTTAAACATATGTACGTTATAATACTGACAACTCGCATGCATTACATCTGTCCCAATTTGGTGGTAGTGAACTGGGCACAAAGTTAAAGACTTTTGAAAAATAGAAGAAATAAGAAAATCTTGCCTTTCCACAAACTGGACATGTTTCACTTCTCTCTTGCCACTCATAAATACAGCTGAGGTGATAATGATGAGAACATTTCGTTAATATCTTGGGATTCTCTGGTGTATACTCTGCAAAAAAAAATAATGTCACTTTACTTATTACTCAGATCAAGAGAATCATCCAACCTTGTAGCTGAAATATTAGCTTAGAGCCTTAGAGCAGCCTCTTTCGTCAATCTATTGGGGCTGAAATAGCTCTTTACAATCACAAAATTGTAAGATAATGTTAGCTACCTTCGAGGCATGTGGGACATACATCCTCATCTTCTGATGAGCAAACGTCATGTTGAACTGCAGTCACCATCATCTCTGGACGACATTCTTTAGATCCTCCATCACAGTTTGATTTAAGCAGTGTGTCTGCTCCTACTATTATTTCAACATCAGCAGGTTCAGGCTCAACTCGTGAATGACTTGTTCTTTTGTCCTGTTGTTTAAATGCAACATCTTGTTGGATTTGTGGCTGTCTTGGAGCAGCGGTATTTGGTAAACCTCTATCACGAGACATGATTGTATTATGTGAACTGTTGATGGTAACTCCAGCAGTCGAAGATGACGGGCCTTGATGAGCAGAGTCTGACTTAAGCAGATTGCCTGCTTTTAGAAGCTTTTGAGTTGTCTCAATATCAGCATCTACATCTGGTTCAGGTTCAACTCGTGAATGACTTATTCCTTTTTCCTGTCGTCTAAATGCAACATCTTCTTGTATTTGAAGCCGTCTTGGAGGAGCACCACTATTTGGTAAACGTCTATCCTGAGACCTGATTGTATTACATGAACTGTTTATAGCATTTGGAGCAGTCGAAGATGGCGGGCCTTGATTAACTGAAGTCCCAGCAGTTCCTTGTGCTTGACCAAATATGGTTCCACACTGATGACAAGTAATACTAAAAAGTCAGTATCATGATAAGTAACAGTCAGCATTTTGTAAATAGTTAGCATCTTACAACAACAACATACGAAATAGGTGGTTTCCAATAGACTCTCGGCTCAAGCGAAAAATAGTCCATAGCCATCAAAAGAAGTAGTAAAAGAAATAGCACATAGTAAAAAAAAGAAACAGCAGAGAGTAACAGGACAGTAACTAAAACAAAATAATATGATAGTCGAAGTAAACTACAAATAATATCAAAATTCAAAGGACAAGAAAACACAAGAGCAATACTACAACTTCTAGTATGGACAGATAACAAGACAACACACTTCTACTTACTAACCTTCTACCCTAATCTGTGTCCTACACAAAGCCAACGCAAAAATGAATCATTTGCAAAGAACTACAACAGAGTTTTTCCATGTGTAAGACTTGTTCAAGTACGAGTGGTCACAGTAGCATCTCACATTCTATCATTTTTTTCCCAGGCAAATAGTTTATTGTTTTCTATGAATTTGCTGTTTTACGAGCTTGTAAAGTTTAATCAAGTGCCAACCATATAGTAACTAATCTTGAAGTGTATTAGTTTCTTAAAAGCTAAACCGGTATCCATATTAAACAGTATATGGTAAATTGAGCAAGGACAGAAGATGCTGCAAATCCTTCACATCAGTACAAAGCATCTCGACTTAGCAGCCTCCAAGGATTGGCTGCACCCCAAGGGTGTGATGTCATGTGCCAACCTACCCTACTACAAACACTAGTAGAATTTCAAATCTTTTCAGTTTTGGAATTCTAAAAAATTACATCATTCCTTGCATAAGAGGAAGGTAGGTTAGCTCCCTAGTTCTTTAAGATAGTTGAAATGTTTCCTTGGAAGCATCTTCACCTGCCATGCTACTTAAATATTCATTCTTGTTATGGTTAGTTGAGTTTGGTAGTCTAACGGCTTGACTAACAACGCCAGTTCAACATGATCATTTATTCATCAAAAAACTGATAAGTCAGTATAAGCTAGGTGGCAGGGGAGATTCGATACAAACATGTGATAACTACATCAATTCAACACGACTTCAAGAATCCAGCCATCATTCATCAAAAACTGATAAACCGGAATTAGCTATGTAGCAGGGGGGAATTTAATACAAACAACGTACAACTTTAAGAACCTAGCCATCATTCATCGGATATTGATAAGGCGGAATTAGCTAGGTGGCAGGGGTATTTGATATAAACAATGTGAAACATTAAATGGTTCGGTGCACCATCCAAACATTATAAGAACAAAATACACTGAAGTTCATGGCGGAAAGATAATCACTTTCGACAGGCACCTTATTAATTAAGTTCTGAAAGCAGCAACTGAAACACTTGCATAAAGTATGATTCTGATCATTCGAGGCAGCATTCCCTCCAACATCAACATCCCGAACAGTGAAACAGGAACAAACTGAACCCATGATGTTACCTCTATTTGTTATATAAATCTTCAACCTTTCATTAGCAATCCCCTTCTCAATCCAGCATCCAGATTTCCCTTTACAGCTATAAATATGCAAACACAAGTAAACACAAAACTGGAAATAAACATGTCAGGCCAAAAAATCAATAATGACTATGTAGAAACTGAATAACTAATCACAACCAAAAAAGAAGATCAAAAATAATACTCCCTCCGTTTCAATTTGTTCGTCTTACTTCCCTTTTTAGTCCGTTTCAAATTAAAAGACATTTTTAAGAAAGACAAGGTTCAAAAACATTCTTTACTTTTTTTTCAATATCAACCAGACAAACAAATTGAAACAGAGCGAATCTTTTTACCCTGAACTCAATTTCGACCACAAAATTAAAAGACATCTGTGCATATCATTCTAATAAGAACAATGATATTCAAAAAAAATATTTTTTACTTTGTTAAACTCCGCGTCATATCATATCAAAACCAACTAACAGATTGAAACATAGCGAGTAAAAAGATACCATCTTTTTACCCTAAATAGATAGTTTCATTCAACAGATAATACAATCAATTAGTGAAAATTTAAATCAACACCAAAACAAACTCAATTTCCACTCAAACAAAACATGAAAACTATACAAATACCAAAAAACACCATAACCATAACATGCAATTACTCATTGATCACAAAAAACAAACACATAGATTTAAAAAGAAAACCCAATAAATTATGTACAGCAAAAAGAAACAAAATTATAGAGAAATAGAAGCGCCGATACCAGAAAATAAGGGTTTTGGAGCAAAAAATTATTGAGAAAAAGTGAAGAGTTTTGAGAATTGAGAGAATTATAAGACAAGTTTGATATAAAAGGAAGAAAAAAAGCTGGACTCTTTATAATATATATAAGGAAAATTGTGGGGTTTATAGGGTTTTACAAAAGAATTAACAGAAGATATATCTCTTTTATCCTATATTTTATCTGTCTTAATTTACGTGACATGATTAAATCAAAAGTGACAATTGTCAATTTATGTGATAAAAAATTAATTAAATTATAAGTTTATTTACTTATTTATATGATACCTCAACTTTCTTTTAAAAAGAAAATGTGCGTAAATTATCATTAACAGGTATATATTTAGAGAATAATATAGAGTTAAATTGATAATTGAGAAATTTATTCAAATAATTATTTAGTAAATATATGTTTAGCTGATGTAAGAGACTAATCTTATCCATAGGAACACTATATGATGAAAGAAAGTCAAGTTGGATTAAATTAGTTTAAATAAAAGAATATAGCGAAAAGGTTTTTTTTAAAAAGAAGGTTTTCATAGTTTTTTATTTTATTTTTTTAATGCGATATTCAGTATGTGATTTGCAGTTCATATTAGAGCTTTGATTAAATTTAGATCGTTTATTATATGGCTTATTCGATGATAATGCTTCAACATAATTTTCTTTATAATAAAATTTTAAATTTAATACTTTTAATTAAGAATGAAACAGTTAAACTATGTGAACAACCTATACCATGTTGATAGGTTCTCATAGTTGGTGTATGAAATTAATGGTGAAGAATCTTCCTTTATTTTAGTGGGGAAAGACATTAAAAACTAAAGATGTTGACTTTTGTGATTTTGGTATGGGGTTTAAATTGACATTTTCATTTGAAAAATGACAAAACAAAAGAAGCAACAATGGCTCCATTATCAATAATTTAATTTTTGTATGGTCGAATAGTATGATGAGATATTTTTATTTAATTTTAACTAAAAGTTTGGGTTGCATCTTATAAATGGAATTATGAAATGAGTCTTACGTAGTATAAATGTGTATATTTACTTATTTAATATTATATAAATTTAAATGTTTATTCGTGTTTCATTCAGAGACTAAGGATATAGATATATATATATATATATATATGACACAGTTTAAAAACAAGTTTATGGATTATACTTGTTTATATTTGATCAAGAAATGTAATTATTTTTTATTGACGGATCAAATGTAACTTGTCCGATAACACTATCTAGAATTCAATTAAAACCATAATGGGCTGGACGAGACAATCTCATTGGGCTAAACTGCAGCCCACAACAAAAATGGCCCAATAACGTAGGCTAACAAGAAGGGGAAGTTTTGGGCCTGAGCCTGGGCCTTCAATTTTGTTTGTTTCTAGCCCTTTTAAAATGGCAAGCGTAAGGTTTGGCGAACGTATTTAAGTTATATACGTTGACAATATAATAACTTTTTTTATAATATCTTTGAAATTTTAACATGGATATCCTAAAACACGACAGGTACAACAATCTTCCCAAAAATACAAGCTTCTATTATAAATGTTGTGACACTCGATCAAAAAAATGAACTTTTAAAAATCTTTTGATTAAAAAATATATGTTACGACGTTAAGACAAATCACACAAGTTTTTATATTAGAACTCGATAAGATATCCTTACATTTATCTTTTGAAGCACTCATGTGAGATCATGTTAGATTAAAGCGGATGAATAATATCATGAACTTAGATCGTGACAAATACAAATAAATCAAATTAATTTCCACGTTTTTTTAACGGTTAACATATCATTTTTAGGATATGGTGTAATATCTTGCTCGTGATATATAAAGACATTCGAACTAAAGCCATGATGCTATTTCATAAATCATATAATTTTCTAAAATACTATATATTATAATAAAATGAATACAAATATATACATGTAGGACAATGGGTACAGTAACTTAAAATCTAAGTAAAGGATATTTTGTTCTTTTGTTTCCCCTTATATAACACAACCACACCTCAGTTTTCACATCAGCCAGATAGACTTTCCAATTATTTGTAAAATTAAAATAGTATCTTAATTTTTTACGCAGAATGACGGTAAATAATTTTTACACTATTAGATTATTCCAAAGCTGGTGAAACAACGCATTCAATAGCTCTTTAACCAAATTCAAACCCCGAACGAAGAGGGGAGGATCCTTAAAGAATATATATACATGTAAGCAATAATGTAGCCATATATAGTTTAAGGTAGTTAATCAAACGTCTTTAGTCGAAAAATTATACTATGTATATATTATTTAAACTCAATAACTATGGATTGCAATGGGAAGATTGAGATTATTTTTATCCTATATAATAAAAAATACCGCACTCGAATTTGAAGAAATGAAAAGATCTTGTTAAGAATGTCCCTTCAATCCCCTGCGGTGCACAAAAACAAATTTTGAAATTCATAAATATAAATTAATTAAACTCAAATATGAATTAGATACGAAGGTTGTGGAAATTATTTATAATTAAAACAAATCATGCGCTAGAAAGAAATGATCATATATTATACACTTTGCTTTAAATTTCAATAATTATTTTATGGGAATTCAGTATATATCCGTTAAAACATACTGATTAGTCTCAATTGGCTCCATGAAGTTAACTTGTCAGAGATTGTATAATTATACTTAATTTAATTAGTTTTTAAACGTATAAAACTAATTAATCTTGCCGATAAAAAATGTGCTATCGTAGAGCGAGCGAATTCAAGATTTCTAGTATTAAACGTAACATTCACAGTTACTAGACTCCTTTAAATCGATACTCAAACTATATGTTAAATGGAAGTTATAAAGATATCAATTGAATAAGAATGCAATTACACCCTTCATCTTGCTTTTTCGTTGTCTATAAATTTAGAGATATTGTTTCAAATTTTATATATTGAGATATAGAAAATACTCTTTTTCATTTCTTCATTTTCGAACAAATTAATCGTGATATAATTCGAAGCAGCTATTGAGTTTGTTAAAGTTTTGTAATTTACAACACTACTATTATATAAGCATATTCTCCGTTTTATTTTGGGGGAAGTAGCTCAAATCCTTTAACAGAGGAGATTATAATTTTTTTAAGAGGGCACAAGTAACTTGTAGACTCAAAATATACTTCAGCGTGCTTTTAATTATACTATTAATATATATATATATAACTCAAATCTGTGTATAATTTTATTAAAATGTTAAAAGAAAAATCGAAAATACTTTTGTTATTCTATGATGGTCCTAAGTAAAGGCAAAAATTAACTTGGCTTTATAAAGCATCCTAACTAATTAATCCATGAATGATGCAAGGTAAATTAAAGTTACCAATAATAAAGTATTAGAAGTTGTTACACTAATAATAATTATTAATCCTAATTAAGGATGAAAAAGGCCCTACATCTTCATGACACTCACGTTCTAAATAGTCCCACAAAGGAACAAATTAAAGGTTATAAAAGGTGAAAAAAATGATTAAATCAATAAAGAATAGAAAAAAATATAATAAAAGATACATAGCATAAGATTAAAAAAGAAAAAGTTGTCATGGCCCAATGTCTCATCATACTAGAAGTTGGGGTTAGTCATTGCAACAAAAAATACTTAATGAAGAAACTCCACTTTAATTAATGTAGCGATTTATTTTATGTGTCTTAGTTTAATTAAATATCAAATTTTTAAAATGTAGATTTTTTTTTTAGTGTTATAATTTTGAACGTATCAGATTATGTCAATTTAAGTGTAACAATACCTTTTATATAGAGAGATTTACACCGATAATCTAATTTTTATTTTTTTTTATTTTACAATCACTATAATTTAATATGTCATAACAAATTACTCACTAATCTTAGAAAATATAACATTATTGTTGAGAGACCTAATTATATATTCTCTCATCACTATTTTTATCTAAAACTTAAACTCATCTATAATAATAATATCATACTCACGATAAAGCATACGTAAATTTTATCTCTGTTATTTACAACATTCTTTTTATAAAATAAGCTATAGAAAAGAAAAGTGAAATGATGAATTCTTTTCACTATCATTTCTTCTTCCAACCACCACATGATTATTGTCACATTCTTTTTTTTTTTCTTTCTTCTTATATAAATATATCAACTTTGAACTATTTTTCATCACATAAATCATTAAAAAAGAAAAAAAATTAAACATGGGGAGAACAAGAATGCCAAATTTTTGTCTAAATAGAATTAGGCCTCATGTTCAAATTCGTTCACCACCTATACAAACCAAAAATAATATTATTGAAGAAACCATGATTCCGGCGTCGGCGCCGGAGGAAAAAGTTTCCGGTGGTGATGACGTGGCAAAATCGACACCGATAATTGGCCGGCAAATAATGATTGTAGTAGATTCAAGCCTTGAAGCCAAAAATGCATTGCAATGGGCATTAACTCATACTGTTCAAAGCCATGATTTACTTGTTCTTCTTTATGTTACTAAACCTTCTTCTAAACAAGGTTAGTTTAGTCTTTTTGCCTTCTTTATTTACTTGTTTTTTATTCGATTTAAATGGTCAAAAATAATTCTGAATTTTTTGTTTTTTTTGCTTAATTCATGTTGGAGAAGTGAACAACTGATAGTTAAGATGTGTTTTAAGATATAGATGTTATAATATGATTGGTTAAGTAGAAAAAAGGAACAATTGATAATTGATTGTTGAAATGCGAAAGTCGAAAAAAATCCATAGTTTATATGTGTGTTTAAACATTATCTCTTATAATTCTATTTCACTCATATTATATTTTCAATTTGATTTATATTTCACGCTATTAAGTGACCTTTATACGTTAGCACATAATTTGCCACGATAAATAATTTTTCTTTTACATAATATATAAATTATTTATATTACTTAAACTTGTTTGTTTTGTATGTTGAGCTAGCTAATAATACAATGTATGTTTTTTTTTAAGTATATAAAGGAAGTTTTCATACTGAATTTGTTGTTTAATATTAACTTTTGCTTCTTTCTTCTTCTTATTTTTTCAGATGAAGATTCTAAAAAGGAAATTAATCCA